ACACTGACAACTCCTTCTAAAAACCTAGTTTTGAAATTAAGACTTGAATAGTCAGTTAGCTTTGAGAGAAGTTGTCACTTTCATAGTATTTGTTTTGCTATCTTTTGGAGAAGCCTATTAAATTCTTATTTCCCATGGAAAAGACAAGAGCAGTAGGAAGCAGAAATGTGAAAAGCTGCTTTGTATTATTTAGAGACCACAAAGAAGTCCAGAAAATCTGGCTAATACAATGTGCTGCCAAGATGGACACAGATTGATGAGAATGAGAAAGACTTATAAATTACAAGAAATTTTGTGAGGAAATCCTGGGAGAAAGTTGGCTTTATTTACCCTGGAAGAGATTTAGTCAAAAAATCTCAGTATGGATGTATCTGTATACAAACTGTTTTTTCTTAGTCTGTCACAGTTGCCTTCTCTGTATATGCCCTTGGTTGAAACAACCTCTGTCAGCAGAAACAGAGTATTGCCAGTGGAACTTTCACCAGCTGCTCTTTTCATTTCATTTCAAAGTATGTGATAAAAGTAAAATCCATAGAAGCTGTAATAGTAGCTCTCAACTCAGAGTTATTTAGTAAATACAGACCCTGAAGTCCTTGTGTAGATAACATGTTTGTATTGGGGTGTTTATTATTTTAGGAATACTTTCTCCCAACTGCTATTATGATGTGTCGGTGCAACTTGCTAATGCAGCATATTCAGCATCTACTAATTGTTGCTTACTACTAGGGTTAAGAGTCACCATAATCTACCCTATGGGCATTTTTTTTTCTGTTTTATGATGTCCAAAGATTTTTGAAAAGCACCAACACATTCTTACCATTCATTATTAATACTGAAATCTTAAGGTTGGGCTTGGAAAAGCAAGGGAATATTTTTACTTAGTTTTACTACATCTACCCTAAAAGGGATTGCTAATTTTCTGTTGTTGTCATTTTGAATTCCAGACATTACAATCATTAGGCCTGAAAATCGTGAGTAAAATTTCAGTCCTGATGTGTACCTGGTGTTCAGTTCATCCAGAATTTTAAAGCATGAAGAAAGAGACATAGAAGGATAGAAATGGTGACAATAGATTTTTCCTTATGAGATGGTATCAATAGAGAAGATAAAAATAAACTTTCTGCAGGTTTCTTGAGCATGGGATAAGAAATAAAGGGTCTGAATTGTAGAAAGGAGAGTTAGGAGAATATTCATAATGTTCTTGCAGGATGGAAGATGAAGACTCCTCCCTCTCCAATCACAGCTTATGCAAAGAAGTGTGTCCTGGGGACAGGAGAGGAGAGGCAGGGTAGGTCTGTAGTGCCCAGCTGCTTACAAAAGGTGGTGACCAGTGGTACTCATGAGCAGAGTCCCGGCTGCTGACTCTAGTTGGTCTTCTAAGCTACTGTTTTAGTGAGTATATGGCTCAAGCCAGCTACAGGCTCCTAGGATGTCACTTTGCTAGTCTAAGCTATTCCTCTGCCTCTGTCCTGCAGAATACCAGGTGTGATACCAGTTCCTGGCACAGCCAGGCAGGTATTGAGAGGTACATAGTGCAGATATTTTACACACCTATGATAGTAACTGATTTCAAGTAATATGTACAGTATTTTTTTCTATCTGGTACTTCCAAGTATGCTTGGAGTGTTCTCAACAGCAGCACTTCCTCCCTCAAGATCTTACAGTGTAGCAGAGCTCTTTTGAATGATCTCTTCAGTATGCTTTTGTCCATGAAAGGCAGTACAGATTTCATATAAACTGTATAAACTGTGACTCTAAGGGGTGTTGAACCACAGGAATGCCCCTCAGAGCTGTTGCTAGTTCTTCAGTGCAGTCTGTGGCAAGGACAGAACTGCTACAGAAACCAAAACATGATTTTGAAATATTAGTGAGAAGTGAATTCAGGAACATTTAAGTTCCTTTTGTTACATCTCTTACTGGAAAAAGGAGACATGATAGAGAGATGTGTGAAGCTGTGGACACAGACTGTATCCACAGTGTGCATGACACACTGCACTCCTTATGTCTCAGAGTGTGAATACATGAGTGTTATGTTCACTGAATAGGGACTGAGGAAAAGAACCAAAACTTCTCATGGTTTTGTATGTTCAAAATTTACAAGTAAAATTATTTAAGAAACAGATTTGTCATTCAGAAGGACTTATGATTATAGATTATGAACAGCAAATTGGTGATAAAGTATGTTATGCACATCAGTGTCATGTTCATTCAGCCTCACTATGAACTTCACTGGCTCATAAGAGTGTAAACATTAAATAGAGATATGTTATTTTTAATCTCCTTCAGCTGCAGCACATCACTATGATTATGATTCTATGTAAGCTTCTCCAAGAACTTTCGAGATTCCTGATTTAATAATTAAAGTTCACTGATTGACATTCATGTGTCAACCAATTTCATCTAAGTATGGGCTACCAGAAGGGGTAGTTTTGTCTTACCCCTCATTCCCAACTGCAAAGGTCACTTCTGTCAGAAGTGGTGCTCTGTTCACAGTGGAAATCTAACCCATGGGAAAAAGAAAAGAATGCAAAAATAAAATTACTTTTCATCTACATCAGCTGCAGTTTCATCCTGCAGTTTCATCCCAGGGCCTTAGTGCAAGCATGAGGGGCTGGGAGAGGAAACTGAGCTGGCAATGGGGACTAGGGGACCAGTGGGACCTCCCTTCTCCACAGCAACCCACGTTTAGCTCAGCACAATCTCAGCTGCAGTCTCAGTGTTTCCACTGCATTTAAAAATGCCTTTACTGTCCCCTTTGTGTGGGTAAAATACACAGTTACCTATTTATTTCTATTGACATACCTGTTTAATAGTTCCTTGTGGGACACTTATACTGGTGCTTGGATATTCTCCTCAGCTGGATACACTTGGAGCAATGTACAACACTATCCTACAATACTATGTACACATTATATATAGCAATAATTATATATTATATATAATTCTATATAATTATTACTGTATTGTTATGATAAAATGTATGTTACTATAATATTAATAACCTCTGGTTATTAAGTTATTTCCCAATGTTCTAATTACTGGCATTCTTCCAAAACCAAGGGCAACAAAAGAATTGATCTTAAAATGGGTTTAATTACTGTAGTTTACCTTGTGGTTTTCTTTATAAACAAATAGCCCCTCCTATAAGTAATCAGCAATGTGGATAAAAAAAGTTCACTCTACACTTTTCTCTCATAAAATTGCTTCTTTCCTTGCTGCTCTGAAATGCATGCCTATGTACTTACTGTTCTGCAAGTTTCCCTCCCTGATTTTGTGGCTATTTGAAAGCTTAACTTCAAGGGGTGATGTGGGTTGTTACTGCTGTGGTACAGAAGCATGAAAACCAGGAATTTTTAAAGATTAAGGCTTGATGGCAGATCCAAATAATGCAGTTCCAAACCAAGTCCAAACTGCCAAAGGCCAGTTTTATATCCCCTACTTCCCTGCAGTTGAACATGAGCTCTGAAAGATGGATTTATAACCCAGATGTGGTTTCCTTGTGCAGTCTGACTTTGCTCCTCATGGGCCAACAGGCTGAATCGAAAATATTACTTTGAAACTACATATATGTGAAAAAATGAAAAGTGAAATATTTTATTCCTCAGACTGGGAGAAAATTCGCTGCTTTGAAAATGTTCACTGGAACAGTGTCACGTGGGATGGCAATTTCCTATCCTCTTCTCTCTGTTCCTGTCTTCATGCGTTACTTCTTTGCTCTCTTCCATTTTTCACTTGTTTGATCCCTTTCAACTGAGTGGGACGCTCACTACCTCTCTCTTTATTTCGTAAATTATGTCACTGCAAGTCTGGATCACCTTCGTATTTCTCCTGTTGTGGCTGGGTTTGAATTGTTTGGAGCAGACGCTCCCCCTGGTGCTCTGTTTTGTAGCGCACAACACAGGTCAGTCCAAGTGGGTAAGTTTCCACTTATCTAGCAAATTTCTAGGGGAATAAAGGAAATTAGGACTGAAAATAATTTTTCAAATTTGAAATTTCATCTACTCCTCATTTAAACAGCAGCTTTGAGTAATTTCTCCATAATAAAATTGAATAAATTTTCTTAAAAGCTTAATCTACTTAATCTACTAGCAGTAGCAAACCCTACGGAAAATGGGGAGAATTTGAAAGTTCTCAGTCAGCAAAACCTGAAGTCGGTTCTTCCCGATGTATTTCTTCTCCAGAACTCCCATGCACCACATCATTCCCACAAGGCCACATGACTGTGAAGAAGTTGTGCTGCAGACTGAGTTAATCAGCTTGGGTATTTTACAAACACCTTCTATCCACCAGTTTGGACTTGTAGCTGCTTTGGTATTCTTACACCCAGTGTTGCACCTACATGTGCATAACTGTTTGACTGCAAATTAGCCTTGTGATTTCAGTGAAATAAAGTCTGCCTACAGGTATAACACTCTGTGCAGTTTTGTGACCTGCTGTGACTTGAATTCTTACAGGTTTTCTTGTAAAAGTGATCAGAGCAATTTTGCTTCTTTGTATTCACATTGAATCAATTCAACACATGGAAAGGTCACTGCTAATGTAAAAAGCTGTTCCACAAACCTCCTCCACTGTTCTGGCTAGGATTGAATTCACACTTTGATAAAGCATTAAAAAAATGAGCTCTTCACGGTAAACACTGTACGGGCTTTTGCAGTCAGTGTTTCTCCTGACTTCCTCAATTTGATTTAAAATCACAGAAGATGTGGTGCCCGTTCTAAGTCTTGAGCTTCCTCTCTTGCCACCAAGTGCAAATTTAACTTGTTCAGGGGCAAAAACCAAAGCTGCAAGGCAGGCAGAATGCAAACACAGCTTAAGTGTTATGGCCTATAAAAGCTTGTAAAATTCGGGGGGTTCTGGTTCATTCGCCCGATGACCGCAGGTCGCACGGTGCACACTCTGCTCCCCAAGCGCGCCGGGCGGTCGGGACACCGAGGCTTGGACTCGAACCCGTGGCCTAGGGCGGATGAGGGCGGGTGTTCGCACGTGCGCATGCGCGCCGCCGGCGGGGCGGTCACGAGGTGGAGATGCCGCGGCTGCTGGAGAAGCTCCCGACGGAACGGGCGCTCGAGGTGGGCTCCGGGCCGGGCCGGGCCGGGCCGGGCAGGGCAGGGCAGGTGGCCCGGGCCTGGGCCCTCCGACAGCGGTGAGGGAGGCAGGCCCGCCGGCGGCGCGGGGCTCAGAGCGGGCTGTCCCTCCCGTCCCGCCAGGCCGCAGTGCCAGAGGGCAGTGCTTTGGGATACTGGGGAGGCGCACGGCTCGGAAATGCAGCTCGGGTTGTGCGTGCGGCCCGGCAGCCCCGGTGCGCGGGGGCTGAGCCGCCCTGTGCCTCGGCATCTCGGCAGCGCTGAAGTTGTGCTCACAGCTGTTCAGTCCGCTTGTAAATCCAGGGTGAACGTGAATCACGTTGTGATTCCTGGGGCCAGGCCTTGTGGACTGCCTCTAAGGGGAGAAGGGAGGAGGGTTCGTATTCAGGGAGTGCCTGTTCAGGGCTTTTCCTGGGCTGCCGTGTGGAAGCACTGAGGCAGTCCCCAGTGGAGGGAGGGTTGGTAACTGAAGTGCTTGATCAGTCTCATGTTCAGTCTCAGAAGTACAGATTAACCGTGAGAGAATTATAAATTAGGTATCACATCCTTTCAGTTCCTGCATAAGGTAATTGATGGCATCTGTGGCCGTGCGTACCCTCGGTACCAGGATTATGGCAATGTTTGGAGCTTGTCGGAGTGGATGGAGGTTTTAGAAGAAACTGTGAGATATTTCAAAACTGCAGTTGGCAAAAATATGTCTGATGAAGAGGTAAGGGCTTATCACTGATTTGCCTTGACTTGGACAGATCATGACTGGAGTGATTAGTTCTGTAGTTTGTTTAATCCTAAAATATTTTTATAGTGTAGGATTTATAGGTAGTGGATTCAACCTAAACAGGTAGAAGGTAAGCAGCATTTAGACTCCCAAGACGTCTACAACAAAAAGTGAAATAGATGCTGATTTTTAAATATTTTTCTAATATCACAGGGTACTTGTTAAAATATTGGTTTAATCACTTAAATTGGTATTTTGAGTATCCCCAGATTAAATCTGTTTATATAATACTACTCATTAACAATAAAACCAGTTCACTTTCTTGTTTGGTTTTCTTTATTTGTATTTTATACCATTGAAGTAGTATAAAATATTGACTGTATGTAAATAAATTTTGTAAAAAATCTAAGTGTGAATGGAGGACCATGTGATGCAGGTACTGTAGTCCAGGACATTCCTATAGGTATAAACTTTGCAAAATCTATTAGAAATATTAATTCTCATCTCTTGCATATTGCTGGTATTTTGACCACCTGCTAGCAGCTGGGTCAAAGAAATTGAGGGAACCTGTGTAGCCTTGGGGACCTCCCTACATCAGTGTTTCTGTTTCAGCTGAGCTGATGAATTTAGCCTCTGCCCTGATGCTGAGAAAATTGCAGACCTACACCTGAGTTGTTTGGGGGTGTGATGTTCTTTTGATTTGAGGGTTGCATGTAAGAAGGCTGATAAAACCTCTATTCTCTGGTGGTTTTTAATTTAAATGATTTTTTTCTCTGTGTGTTGCTGTGGTAAACACTGACTCTTAACTACCAAAGACAGAGAGCAGCCACAAAGAGCAGCTATCAGCTTAGATATTTTAGTTATTGCAGGTGGTACATGTTAATTCTGTGCTTCATAGTGCAAGTAATCATGGTTTTAATTTTTATTTTTATTTTTGTAGGCTACTCAGCAGATAGTGGAGTTAAATTCAGATTATCAAGAAGCAATCACAAAATGTCTGAAAGGTAGAAAGGAAGAAATCAGGAATGCCCTAGTAGAAAATGTACATGCAATCTCTTCTGCCCAGCTGCAGGATTTTGACTGGCAGTTAAAGGTGAGACTGTTGCCTTGACATTGTTTGAAAGGAATGTTCTGCAACAGGGAAGTAACTTGGTTCAGTCCCATTAGGCCTCTGCACAGTGGTTCAATTTTTATAGGTATTGCAAAAGCACGTTAATGACTGATGCAAAAGCATCAAAGACTTGCCAGAAATTTGGAAATGTAAATTTTAAAATTTTGTCTGTTTTTGTTTTTCCCCTTTTTTAAAGCTGCTCAGGGAGCTATTCAAGAGCACCTGAACATTTTGTATGCTGTTATAATTTTGAGGCCCGAATAAACAATGTTTATTCTCAAAGGAAGAAGTATATTCTTAATTTTAAGATTAGTTGACTGATTCAGGATAAGTTTTCTTCACTGTCTTCAAATGTTCATATTTTTGCAATGGACATTTAATACTTGGATTGAAATAATTTATCATTAGACTTTCTGTTTTGGTAATAAACCAGTGATATTGGAGTTGCCTAAGTTAGGATGGTGGTTTGAGGTTATGAAGACCTTAAGCTTGATCAAAGACTTTAAAACATTACTTATACTGTTTATATTTTTGATTAGACCACGAGAGCTGCTAAACAGATTTGTAGAGCTGTTAAGTAGTTTTCCATGTGTACAAGAGTGCTCAATAATTTCTGCAGCAAACAGCTTTGGAAATCAAAGAACAATGCCCACAACAGACAAGTTTTTGCAAGAGCAGATATGGCATCATAATGTGCTGTAGATGAAATGTTATTAGCTTGATCTCTTGCTAACTGCATTTACTGCTGACAAAAATATGAACTTGCGTGAACTTTTGTTTTTTGTTTGTGGCTTCTTTTAAGTTTTTCGTCTCGAGAATTTTTTGAGTTTCTTTCTATTTTGTGATGCAAATTTCTGGTACGTGTCTGAACTATTATTTTTCTTAAAACCGCTTTTTTTCCCCCCCCTTGAGCTGGCTCTGATTTTTTTTTTTCACTTGCCATGATTGAGCTCTACTGCATTCTGTACTCTAAATAAAGATAGGTCTGTACAGTACTAACCTATAGTGCTATCAACTGATCTTTGATTTTAATGTATTTTAAAATGAGCAAATGTATCCTTTGTTTTCACCTAGAATATCAAAATGTGGTAGCCCAGAATTTTAACAAATTGGTTTTGGCAAGTGTATATGACAAGTCTGTGAAGAGGATGGTCTTTATTCAATGTATTGTTTGTATTAACAAACAAACAAACAAAAATCCCGATAATTGAGGAAAAAACCCTGAAAACAGCAGACTTTACTTACTGAAGTTAATTTTGTCATGCTGATGTTTGTTCTGGTCTTACAAGTTCAATATAAAATACAGATATGACATTATGAAAGACTAAAAGTTTAATGGCTCCACCTTATACTTTATTGTTATTGTGTCAATCTACATAGCTTGCTCTCTCCAGTGATAAGATCTCCATGCTGCAAATGCCACTCCTCAATCTTGATTTGGATGTGAGAGAAAATGGTGAAATTAAGCCAGTTTCTATAGAGATGAATAAGGAAGAGTTGCAGAACCTAATAAATGCACTGGAAGCTGCAAATAAGGTAACTTTTACTGATGTAATATTTTGTTCCTGACTTGTTAGGTGCTGATTTATTTTAAGCAGAATTCATAGAATCATAGCATTGTTTGGGTTGAAAAGGATCTGTAAAGGTTGTCTAGTCTAAGCTCACTGCAATGAGCAGGGACATTTTTGACTAGATGAGGTTGCTCAGAGCCCGCTCCAGTGTTTCAGTGTTTCATCTGTGTCCAGTGTTTCACCACACTGATTGTAAAAAGTTTCTTCCTAATATCTAGACTAAATCTAATTTCTTTAATTTGATTACCCCTATCCTGTGCTGAAAGATTGGTGAGAACTCTCATGTTTCCCTCAGCTTCACAAAATGTCAGTGTCTGGGAGAGTTATTTGGGTCATATTAAGTCCTTTAATTTCCATGGCACGTGGTGAATCAGGAAGAAAGTTACAGAGATTACGGTATAGTGACCCAAGAAGAGAATTTCAAGTGAAATTATAAGGCTTCTGACACACTGAAGGGTCTCAGATTTCTTAACAGAAAAGGCTAAGGAAAATGAGGATTTGAAGAAAATTGTGTTTATATGAAATTATAGCCCTTAAGAGCTTTCACATCTTGCTTCCTATATGGATTTTCTTCCCGCAGAACTAAATAAAAATAGTATGTGAGCAAGGATTCATCCAGGACAGATTTGAGTGTTCTCATGCCCTTTGTTCTGCTTGAGGGTCTGTCTGGAAGCTGTGGGATGTGTCATCTCCATACTTAGTTCTGTGGGCACACGAGGAGGAATTCACTTCAGAATTGGTCCCTTGGCTCTGCTTTGTGCAGAAGGAATCTCACTGCACCTGCACTTGCTATTCTGCTTTTTGATTGCAGGCAGCTAAAGAATGGTTTGAGTGCAGTAAAGGGTAAAGGAAAGTATTTTAAGTGATGGTTTTATGGGATTCATAGGCTTCTTCTCATAGGCTGCTTAAATTTTGTTCTTAACCAACATTAATCTCGTTCCTTTTTTCCTTTTTGAAGGTTGTCTTACAACTGAAATGATGGAATTCAGATCAACAGTATCTGCTGGTGATGGCTCCCTAAATGATTTGGGAAAAAAACGTGTTTACTGCAAAGTGGAAAGGTTTTAGTGCTGTAAAATACTGAAGTCAGAAGACTCTTATGACCAAATGAACTACTAATCCTTCAATAAAAATAATAAATTCTTGTATCTATTTGACCAAAAATATAAAAATCTAATGTACAGTTGCTTTTAGTACTAAAGATTTACAGACATTTGGAAGATAATCGCTTACAATATGTGCCATATTTGTTTTGGTAAAACTTTGGCAGTGACTGCACAGGTGCCTGGTGAAACCAAGGCATCTTACTGGCATTGTATGTTACCTTATCTAAAGTGCCATGCTAATAAAGAATGAGAGAATATTTGTAGCATTCATGTATTTATACTTGTATATATGGTAAATAAACACTTGACTTTGTGTGTGAATAATTGTAGTAGGCTGCTTTTTCATTTATGAATCACTAAGCACAATCATTTTAGATGCTTTTACGGAAAATCACCTTTACAAACAGAACTAGTGTAGAATGACAGAACAGTTGAGGTTGGATGTGAGCTCTGGAGGTTTTCTTCATTCCTCAAACAGGGTAATGTAGAGCAGGATGTACAGGCCTGTCTCCAGATGTCTTGAGTATTTCCCAGTGATTGAGGCACCACAATTTCTCTAGGCACTCTGTTCAGTGCTCAGAAGTTGTAGAAAAAGCACTGCAGCTTTATTCAGAGTAAAGTTGTAGTTTTTAGTTTAGTTTTTGTATCTTAGTTGGTAGCTTTTTAATTAAAAATATTAATGTTTTCAAAAGGGGGTGCAGTGCTGGAGAGGAGCTGACCTATATAGACTATGAGAAAGATATTCCTAGCTCACTTAATACAGGAGTTAATTGGTAAACTCTACTCTAAACTTTTCTGAAACTAGATGGGGTTTTGATTGTGGTATGTAACAAAAGTTAAAAGCACTAACACTAGGGAAGAGTACACCAGAGGTCTTACAGTTTCTACTATTTGTCTGGCCACTTTTCCATACATAGATCTGTAGTGCTTACATGAATACTGATGTATGTATGATTCTCATTGTGGGCGTGTGTGTGTGTCTTAGGGAAGCTTTGTATAAAAATAAGGAAAATGATTGATGACTTTATTCCTAATTTCAAAATCAGGGTCTTGAGTTTGTTCCACTGTATTTTGTTATGTGCCATAGGTTTTCATATATGCGAAGTTTAGTACACTAATGTAAAATAATGGACTTCAGAGTACTGGTCACAGAGGAGGAAGGCGAGCTCTTGTAGAAAGGCTTCTATAAAAAGGATTTTAATGGGTCTGATAGATAGGACACCTAAATATATTGTTTTTCTTTTATTTGGTACTGATACATTTAATCAGATATACATGTTCAGTGTCAGCAATTGAAGAATGAAGAAGTGTGGAAAAGTGGGTAAAGACTTCTAAAGATGAACAAGTTGAAGATGTATCTTAGTGAAAGGAGTGCAACCTCTAACAGATATGGCTTGATCATAATCTTGAATTTCCGTAAGCAACAAATTTCATAATGGATTAAGTAACAGATAAAGGCCTTATAGAAATGGTACAAAATTCAAACTAAAAATCAGGTTGGAATTGATAATTGTTTAATTTTAATAAAAAATCTGGAAAGAGTTACTGCAGATTGTCCAGCAGCATGTTAGGAGGATGCTGGTTTTTTAATTGTGAGTGTAAGGAATAAATTTATCAAGTCTCTTTATTTTATTTATAGGTATATTTGTGTTGACTATGCTTTTTCTTTTTCTCCAGATCTAGTTGCTTTATAGAAGAATATGGCCTTCCTTATGTATTCAAATGCTCCATGTATTGTGTGAAGCATGTCTGAAGGTATAACTCTTGCTCATCTGATGGGCATGTATTGCTGAAAGGTTTTTCTAGAGAAAAGAGGCTTTATATTTTGTTTTTATTGTTTTCATGCTGTTTTTTATAATTTAAGATAAAAGGAATGGAAATACTTTTATTTATAGTTGCAGATTTAATAACAGCAATTTATTTCATAAAAGTGTGCTTTATCATTTGGGATGTTGTTTGTATAGAAGAAACTCGTGTGCTGATGTATTCATATAATTTATAGATGTACTGTGAAAACTAAAAAAAACAAATACCTAGAAATTCTGTACTTCAGTGAAAGATGGATATTTAAAACTAATTTTTAGTGTGTTGCTGAAGTGAACTTTTGTGTTGCTTCCTCTTAGTTTTCAACATCAATCACTCAAAAATACAAAATTAGTAGTATTTTCTCAATAACAAAAGGCCACAAATAATAACTTCCATTTTTATGTACAACCAGTGAAACTTCTGTTGAAGAATCTGCTACAGATGCTACTTTCAATATTTGTGACTTTTTCTTAATAGTTGACTTAAAGTGTTTACATAGCTTCATTTTAAATTCTCTAGCAACTTATGTAATAATGGATTTCTAATTAAGGGTATGTAGTGGTGTTCAGTTTGTAGTATCATCCTATATTTCTCTGTCCTGTACTGCAGCACTGAACAGAAAAGGCTGAAAAAAATCTTTTTTCAATTGTTTTTTGCTTTAACAAGAAGACAGGTTTCTGATACTGCTGTTGACAGAAATAAATGTGCAATGAGATGCTTTTTTTTAATAGGTTTTAGACTTTATTGAAAAAGAGTATTTTTAATATAACCATCAAAATTAAGTTTTTAATAGGGGGCATAACAACGCAGTGTGAGTGGCTAGAAGGGGACTGGAGCTCCAGTTGACAAGCAGTTGAGAAGCAGCAGCTAAAACATGGCATTGTATTTGAAATGTGCATTCTGACCTTACATCTCTACAGAGCAATGAAAGGCACACAATGGCCTCCAGCAGATGGCAAGGAAAAGGACCAGAAAGAATGGAGAACAGAGCTTGCTCTCTGTACTGTCTGTCAGATTTTATTTCTTTTTCTCTTTGCTCAGAGAATTAGGTACTTCTGGAACAAGCAAGGTCTCCTGTTGTGACAGATAAGGCCTTTGTGGAGACTGTACCGGACCAGATTAATGAAAAAAGCCAGAGCTTTCACAAGACCCATTACAGTGGTGTCATCTTCAGCTACACTTTGCTGGATGCAGGTAGACATGAGCAGGGTAAATAGGACAAACCTACACAGGACAAAAACACCTGAAACAACCTTGTGACCAGAAGCACGTCTTGAGGAGAGTTTGTGGTGTGAGGAGCCCCACTGACAAAGAAACTTGGGCCTGTGACTAAGAATTAGGCCAAAGGTGTGAGAGTTTAAAGAGGCCCAATTAGCATCAATGAACTGAATTTTGTCCTTGCTTTTCTGCTCTATTTGCCAATATCTGTATTTTCCTACCTTCTTCCATATGTGAGCTCATTCTAATTAACTGGCTGCAGCATGTGGAATAGCTGTGGAGTTTGCACATGCCACCACACTAACTGGTAAGTGTTGTTCCCAGGCGATGCTGCTCCTTTGGCCCAATTCTAGACCCTGGGTTCCTGTTCTCCCAGTCCCCACCTGGCAGAGCAGCTCACTTCTGGGGCCTGCAGTGGCAAGGGCAAAAAGCCCCCAAGCTAACCATCATAAAGGTGTTCAGGAAATCTCTCTGGTTTTGCAGGTACTAAGGAGAGGCCTCTTGAGTATGTAATTTACACCAGAAACAAAACTTTGTACAGGAGGCTTTTTGAACCAAAAGTTAATGAAATCAGTACCTACAATATAATAGACACACTGTAGGAAGTTTTAATTTCACTACCTCAAAAGCACCTACAGAAATTCATATTGCATAAGCAGACCTGCAATTTGAATCAGAAAATCAGCATATCTTGATACAAAATATAAAAAGTGAATTATAACAATAATGTTACTTGCCCTCTGCTGGTGCTCATTGCATTTTTCTCTGTTTCACAGAACTTTTCCCTTGATTTCAGAAAAATCTTTTTTTTTCATATCAGCCATGTCAGCTTTGATCTTGGTATGCTAAAGGGAACCAGAACTGCATATGAGCAGCAAACTGTCAGTATGGAATTGACTATTGTTTATAAAACTGCTTTTGCAACAAAGCAATTATATATGCCAAGAAGCTGTGTTTTTAAAAGATCTAGATAAGTCTGTAGAACATTTCTGAGTTCTGAAGCAAGCCTTTCTGATGGGAAACATGTTGAGACATAATTATGCTTTCTTCTGAAAGGTGGTTTTAAGAACCAGTAACACCCTATCCTGAAGTATGCACATTTTGCTATCATTTTGATTTGTGAATTAATATTTAAAATGCAGTATCAGCAGTAAAGGGATTTTTACTCTTCTAGTACTAATGAATGCTTTCATAAGTGCATCAAGATAGTCCATAATTTTTTTTTTTTAACTTTAAATCAACCTCAGTTACATTTGGTGGTATACACTCTTTCCTCTGTAAAATTTTAGTTCATACCTGCTTTAGGGCTTCTCCAGAAGGACCAAATGACTCCCACCAAAGCCTAGAAAATGAGGCAAATATCACAAATATCATTCTTTGGACTTTTGCAGGCCTGTGAGGAGAGTACTACAGAGAGAAGGCTCTGGCTGTTTTTAAGTATTGGGTTACTCAGCTAGTTTAGCTAATAGAGTAATGAAAGGCACTGGAAGGTGTGGGGATTTTTATAACTGGGAATTGCCACAGTTCCACAGAGACTGCTTTGGTGATGGACTATCTGTGGGGAAGGATTCCTAGGATATAGATTAAATAAATTTTTTTGATGGCTACAGTAATTTTTTCTGGGGGGGGGGGGGGGGGGTGAAGGCAGAGGTTTGAGATCTGTCATATTTCTATTGCTATTGTTTTAAATGGGAGCCAGAGTGACATCGGATCATCTGAGAGCTGCTGGAAACTTCCTTTGTAAAACCCAATCCTGAATTCTTTACCTATGCCAAAGTCTCAATCAGCTCTTTCTTGAAATGATGATTTGCCTGATTTGTTTCAGAAATGTTAGCTATAGTGTACAACATTCAAAGTTTCTTCTAAAAATCTAAAAAAATCAGGTAATATGTTGTCAGCTAGATCAAAGCAGAAAATGAAGTTTCAGAGACAGGAACAAGGAGACTGGTATGTTCACAGATGTGGATGAGATGGCTGATGTTCTCACCAAAAGGCATGATCTGCTACAGGAAACCATCTTTCTTACATTTTGGCAGTGTGACTGATTTTATACTTTTGCTTGAGACAGTGCAGGTACAGAGAGCCAGGGATGAGTTAAAAGAAATTGGTCAGAGATGATCTCTGGCAATATGACATGCTTCTGCTGCCATGTAATTGTATTAGTTCCTCATTGGTATTCACACTCAAATGCAATTGGACTTTGCAATAAAAAACATGTAAAAGAGTGAGTACCAGGCCATTTCTTAGATTGGCACCAGCATGAGACAAGAAGGCATGTTTTTATAATTCTGGACATTCAAGATTACTTACAAAATAATTGAGAAATACAAATGTCAAGGAGCAAGCAACACCATTAGAGTTACCTCTGCACTCCAAGGCAGCAAGTAGACCAAAGTCACCTGGTGTTCTTTTAAGAAATGCTACCTTTTTTATTTGTCACTTAATTCTTTCAGCCTGTGCATATACATTTCAGCATTATTACATGCTGAAATTCATTATTCTCATGTGATTCTTGCCTTCCTTGGACTGCAGGGTGATTGGGTGCCCAAGGACGTAGGAGGAAATGCACAGTCACAGATGTGGGGAGGTCATGCTTTGTAATAGAGAACCCATTTTTAAAGTATTTTTTTACATAACAGATATAATCCAGCCTTTTTTTTTCACTAATACTCCCAAGGACGTGTTAGCAATGCATCCTCAATATGTGAGCATTCTTGGGAACAGGCTCCTTGGTGATGGGAAACAGCTGGTGGAATGTGGCCCTCAGGCCCTGGGTGACTTTCCCTGTGATTTATGTCAAGAAATCCTCCACTTGCAGTACAAAGGAAAGGAACATTTCCTGTAAGGGTGAACTAGGTGAACCAGCAGATATTCTGAAA